CTGTATGATATCAATGTGCTTAAATTTATGTAGATTTGCCTTATGCCCAAGCATGTGGTCTATCTTCGAATATGTGCCATGTGAGATTGAAGAGAATGTGAATTAATTTGTATTTGGATGAAAAGTTCTGTAAATATCTATCAGGTCAAATTGTCTAATTGTAGTGTTTAGATCTCTAGCCTCCTTGTTGAGTTTCTTTTCCTGTGATCTATCTTTCTCAGAGAGTGATGTGTTGAAGTCATCCACTATAATTGGCGAGGCTATGATTTCTTTTCGCATCTTTTGAAGTGTTTGGTTGACGTATTCAGTGGGTCTCATTCGGGGAATATATGTTTACAATGTTTAGTGGTCCTTTGTCTACCACTCCCTTGAGCATTATATAGTGTCCTCCATCTCTTTTTATGGTTTGCACTTTGAGGTCAATTTTAGCAGAGATTAGGATTGCAACCCCTGCTTTGTTGAATTGTTGTTTGCTTGGTGTGCCTTTCTCCAGCTTTTGTTTCTCAGTCTATTTTTGTTTGTAGCCTTGAGATGTGTCTCCTGTAGGCAGCATATTGATGTGTTGTGTTTTCTAAGCTAGTCTGCTCATCTCAGTCTTTTAATGCCTGAGTTCAGGCCATTAATATTCAGGATTATCTCCATCTGCGGACTTTGTGATGTCATCTTATAAATTTTGTGTTAGGTGTTTTCCACTTTCCTTTCTCATTAGTGTGTTGTGCATGTGTGTGTATCATTCTTGACTTCTTTCCATTCTTAAGCCAATGTTATCTGGGGGTCTGTTTTCTCTTTGTTGCCCTCTGGGTGAGGTTGTTCTATGTGGCAGTCTCTTATTTATGCTTGGTGAGTGTTGTTCTTCTGCCCATACTGGGTCGTATTCTTTGAGTTTTTCCTTGTCTGGGAAGACTCTTACTTCTCCATCTATCTTGATCGATAATTTGGCTGGGTAGAGTATTCTTTGGTTTGCATTGTTTTCCTTCAATTTTTGGAATATGTTACTCCACTTTCTCCTCTTCTTCATAGTTTCTGCTGATAGGTCTGAGCATATTCTTATTTGGTAACCTTTATATGTGATTGTTTGTTTTTCCCTAGCTGCTCTTATGATTTTCTCCTTTTCCTCAAAGTTAGGTAGTTTAACTATTATGTGACTTGATGACTTCTTCTTGGGATTCAGTCCAGCTGGTGTTCTTTTAGCCTCTTGAATGGTTGCCTGGTTTTCATTCATTAAGCTGGGGAAGTTTTCCTCCACAAATTCTCTCACTATTGTTTCAGATGACTTCTTTGTTGTGTCTTCCTTCGGTATGCCAATAATTCTAATGCTGTCCCGCTTCATAGCATCAGACATAGCTCTTAGGTTTTCTTCAGCTTCTCTGATGATCTTGTTAGTTTTTTTTCGCGTTTGTTAACGTCTATTGGGCTGTCCTCCAAGTCACTGATGCGGTTCTCTGCTTCCTCCAGTCGATTCTTGAGGTGCGTGTTTCTGCCACTGGTTTTTGTTATCTCCTCCCTAAGTTCCTGTATTTCCATGTTGTATGACCTTTATCTCCTCTATAATTACATCATTTTTCTGTATTATTTCCCTCATATCCTGTATGATTCCAAGCAGCAGTCTGAAAATGTCTTTCTGTGGCAGCTCAATGTCTGCTTATTCTATGCATGTCGTTATGTTTGGGACATCTTTTGCCATTGCCTTTTGTTTCTCCTGTTTTTTCGTTGAGGTCATTTGGGCTGATGGCTGTTTGCATTGTGTAGTTTTACAGGAGCCAGGTGCCATTTTCCAGGGAGTCGAAGAGCACTGGCTCTCTCTGGGAGACTTGTAGGAATGCTTCGTCGAACTGCCTACAGCTAATTTCACTATGGTATTAACCTACCATTTTATCCTCCTGTGGCTTCCCTCTCAGGGGAGGCCCCAGAAGACTGGTCAGTTGTCTGCTTTGGTGTTGCGGAGGTTGGGCAGAGGTTCCTTCAGCAGCATGGAATATTGACGAGTGTTGGCCGAGCTATCTTAGGTGCCCAGGTACACAGGCAGGAATTCCTCGCTAAGAAGTTGGGCAGAGTATCCCCTGGTGGAGGTCAGCAGGGCTTTCCCCAGCCCCGGGATAGCTACACAGGATGGAGGTCACCTAGCTTGGGTTGGCACAGGCATGAATGCCCTAGGCTAAGAGGAGTGGTCTGGAGGTCAGCAGTGAGTGTGAGAGAACAGGAAAGACTCTAATGTGACCAGACGCCCTGCTTTTGGTGAGACAGTCCCGATTTTTAACAATTTTTTCCACGTCCTGCAGCATTTTTTAAAAGTCCCGATTTTTTGAAAGAATGCACGACAAGCTAGAGTATACGGTTTTCGGCTGCCTTGTGGCTATTTCACCAGGATATGACTTTTATCAATGGTGTCCCACTTTACCAATGTTAAAATCTGGTCACCTTGGGAAAGAGACAAAGAGGAGAAAGAAATTTTTTTAAATGAGACCGCTTAGACTGTGCAGGCATATAGAGAAATGAGGGAAACAAAAACAATGTAGCTGAGTCCAGATCCCAGTATGTGGTGTTGCATGGGTTTAGTCCCTGCTCCAAGACGGCGACATCAAGCTGTGGCTGTGTTAAGAAAAAAACCCTGTGCAACCCTCCAAGACTGTGGGGGGGATAGAGAGAAGAGATGGAAACAAAAGCAACAATGTAGCTGAACCCCGATTCCTGCCCATGGAGCTGCAATGGTCCAGTCCCTGCCCCAAGGCAGGTGGCAGCAAACTGTGGCTGTGTTGAGACCAAGTCCCCCTATAGCCTCCAAATCGTCCCGGCTCCAGCAGAGACAGTGGCAGGGCCAAGGTCAAGCCCCAGCCTGCTTCCACTGAAGTAAGCCAAAAGCCCCCAGCCCCTCAAAACTCCGTGGGTCTGTGCCTGCTTATCTTTATGATGCTCCTCCTGTGTTCCAGCACCATTGAATTTCTCTCTAAGCAACTCTGCTGGGCTTAATTCTGCGGAGTCCCTCTGGTATGTGTCACTCCATCACCATCTTCCCAGAAGAGGCTGTTGGCTTTTCATAAATAGCATGTGTTAACTTGAGGAATTGTCTTTCCATTCCTATCTTCTTGAGCGTCTTAATTAGGAATGGGTATTGGATGTTGTCAAATGCCTTTTCTGTATCTATCGATATTATCGTGTGAGTCTTATCCTTTTTCTTATCAATGTGGTGAATAATGTTGATAGAAATCCACGACTTTCTCCTGCAGAATGACTGATGGTTTCGAATTGTTAACCTTGGGGTAGCAGCCCATTAGTGTATTCCATTACACTTGATGTTGTGAGCTCTTAATTCTCCCTATGGAGACTCAGAAAGGGGACAGCATTGAGCTAGTGTGTCCATCTGAGACCAGCATAGGGAGGTTTCCAACAAACTAAGAGGAAAAATAGAGAGAGAAACCTTGAGTCAGATCTGTGGGAACTATTCTTCTCTAGATCCCAAGGAGCTATGTAGAGTATTCTAGCCTGACTCTTTACCCTGGGTGATCTCAGCAAAGTTGAAACAGAGGAACTTTCTCATTGTGTCCTGAGAAAAGGGTCTTGGTGTGAGAGATGCATTCAAGTCATTAGAAAGATGTAGGAGTTACAACCCCTTTCTTTCATTCATGAGAGAACTCCGAATAAGGACTTGAGTACCACACAAGGCAAACTCTTGACCACTGAGTCAATTCTGACTCATGGCAGCCTTATAGGACAGAGCAGAATCACCTTTTGGGGTTTCAGAGGCTCTAACTCTTCACGGGAGCAAACAGCCTCATCTTTCTCCCGAGAAAAACTGGTGGTTTCAAAATCTTGGGTTAGCAGCCCAGTGTATAATTAACTACTTCACCAAGGGCCCTACTTGAGGACTGCCCACAGCAGAATAAAAGCTAGCACACAAATTTGAGTCCTGTTCTTCTGTCAGGCTTGAAAGGCCCCGGGAAGATCCATCACTGTGAGTGCCCCGTGACTTCTCTATCAAGGAGATGGCATCAGTCTGATCCGTACAGTCAGCAGAGGGGAGGGTATCAGGTAGTCAGCTTGAGGTATAACAATAAAGAACCTAGGAATGGAGAGGACCACACACCCAAGAGCTGAGTGGGTATAGCCCTGGCATTCCTCTCAGGTCTGGAGCGCTGCTACTGCTGTCACCCCTGGGTGTTCCTGAGCAGGTGTGACCAAGCAGGTGCTCGCTCCTTCAGCCCTGCTCCAGAGTCAGGAACGAGAAGACTTTGGTCTGAGAAGCCATCAGCAAAACAGCATAGCTGAGGTCCCGGGTCCTGTCACAAGCCTAGATATTATCACTGAGTATAAACAGAGAAACCCCACTCCCCCACCCCCGAAAACAGAGGATGCTCTCAAACACTTGGAGCAATCATCCCTTGCTATCAGCCTTGTAAGCCCTAAGCAGGGTTGGGAGGCTGCAGCCTAAGGCACACTCTAATAACTTCCGCAAGGTTCTCAGGGAAGAGGCTGATCAGAAAACAGAAAGCCTCCTGGTTTCAAAGAGCAGGGTCAGGATTTTTCCAGACCAAGGTTTTATTTCCTGCCTAAATGGATATAGGGTCTCTATGAGTCTCAGCACTGACTCAATGGCAGCGAGTTTTGCTTTGTTTTGCTTTAAACGTGTATAAATTATGTCATCTTTCTACCAGGCACCTGTATCACTCACCTTCTTGCCCCTTCTGCTCTCCTTGACCAGATCATCATGCCTCGTGGTCAAAAGAGTAAGCTTCGTGCACGAGAGAAACGCCGTCAGACTCGAGATGAGAACCGTAATAAGGAGGTTCCTCGATCAGCTGCAGAAGCGGCGGCAGCAGCAGCTGAAAATGCACCCTCTGCTTCTGAAGAGCCAACTCAGAGCTCACCTACTGCTGGGTCTCCAAGTAGTTCCCAGGAGCTCCAAAGTACCCAAGGTACCACCACTTCTGAAGCTGCTGCTTCAGCCACAAGAGCTAGTGGCGATGCCAGCTCCGCAGGGGAGGAAGGCCCAAGCTCTGAGAAGGCCTTTCCTGCCACTGAGAATTTGTACAAAACCGCAGTAGATAGGAAGGTGGTTATGTTGGTCCACTACCTGCTGCACAAGTATCAAATGAAACAGCCCGTTACAAAGTGTCAAATATTGCGACATGTACTTCAAATGTACCGGAGATCATTCCCTGAGATTCTAAGAAGAGCCGGTGAGCACTTGGAGTTGATCTTTGGCCTTGACATAAAGGAAGTGGATACCATCCAGCATACCTATGTCCTCGTCAACAAAATGGAATCAAGCTATAGTGAAGGGATGGGTGAAGACATCGGTGTGCCCAAGACAGGTCTGCTGATGACTATCCTGGGTGTGATCTTCACGAATGGCAACTCTGCTTCTGAGGAGAAAGTCTGGCAAGTGTTGCATATAATGGGCTTACGTGCTGGCAGGAATCACTTCATCTTTGGGGAGCCCAAGAAGCTCATCACCAAAGATTTCGTAGAGCAGATGTACCTGGAATACCAGCAGGTGCCCAACAGTGATCCTCCAAGATATGAATTCCTCTGGGGTCCCCGATCCTATGCTGAAACCACAAAGATGAAAGTCCTGGAGTTCGTAGCCAAGATCCACAATACCACCTCGCGTGCTTTCCCCTGCTTGTATGAAGAAGCTCTGAAGGATGAAGAGCAGAGAGCCGAAGCCAGAATGAAACCCAAGGCACAATACCAGGCCTTGACCGGCAGTGTCTCCAGCCACAAGTGAAGTCTGAGGAAGATTCTTCACTTCGTATTTTCAGCAGGGAAGTCAATGTTCTAAAAAGTGCAGGGTTGTGTTGGAGCAGGGCCACCAAGTTTTCTTTGTTTTTGTGTTTCTATCCCTGCTTCATAATATGGATGAGGTTTTTTTTTCTCTTTCACATGTTCTTTGAGTAGAAGGCTTTATTAAACCTCTCAGAATCTTAGATAAAGAATGAATAGGTCGTTTCCACACTTATAGCTATTTGTTTGTTTTCAAAGTATGAGTTGTACTCTTTTGTAAATCCAACTAGGAGATGTTCCATTTTATGTAGTCATTTAAGCAATATAGCATTGAGAGCAAAGGTGTTTTTTGGATATGAAAAAAGAAAAATAATCTTCAACAGTAAAATAGTTGGATTAAGAAATATACAGTGTGAGAGATGATATTTTGTTTGTTCATGTAAAAGTAAAAAATCTTATGCCTGCATATGCTTCACTTGCTCAAGAATGTAGAAGATATCCCCTAATAAATTAGTTCTCTTGCACGTTGGCTCATTTATTCTTCAAATATCAATGGAGCATCTGCTTCTTGGAAGACACTGGACTAAGGGAAACAAAGCCCTGCCCCAGCCCACAGCATTTGAGACTTTTAGAGTCTGGGAGCAACAGGGCCCCTAAGGAAGATACACCCTAAGCCCTAAAGGCAAAGGAGAAAGAAGATGTGCAGACGAGGATGAGGGGTGCTCAAGTAAGGGCATTCACATCAGAGCAGGACAAGGCCAGGGATGTGGGGGCTTTGGGAAGCTACCAAGTCCGTCTTGTGAGTTTATTTAAACTTTCATTGGGTAGTGGGTCTCATGGCGGTGGTAGGAATGGTGAGGTGGGTGGGGGGCAGACTCTCATATAGCATATCTCAGTTGTAAGACCAAAACCTCTCAAACAAAATGGGAACATGGAAAATGATAGAGAATTTGTGGGTGGGGAGGGGTGGCAAGAATAAAAGGTAAGCTGAGCTATTGTTTCCATGCCATTGAATACAATGCACTAAGTTTGTCTTATCTATGCAACATCTCCAGGGAGATTTTGAGAAATAAGGCTGATGGTCACTTGATAGCATGCTCAGGAACCACTTAACTGGTGATTGTTGCTCTGGCCTGGGAAAAAGGCAGAGCCCACTCCATTAAAAGGACATTTTAATTCGGTTCTCTTGACTATAACATAGCCAACTCTAAGCAAGGATTTCTCTTTGCTGAGGGTAAAACTGCATGTACAAGGATGGAAAGCAAGAGGGGAAGGAGGGTGTCCTTGACCCAAATTCTAGGAGCTTGGAGGTACATCCAGCTGTGGAAGCCTCCCTTGCACTCAGAATCAGTAAGTGACTAAGTAAGTAACTTAACTGTACTCGCTAAGGCTGGTAGGTTGTGTTTCTGTCTAGAATGCTGCATATTCTCTGGTACCTCTTTTTTTGCAAGGAGGGGGGATTCCCAGAGCAATTTGGTTGGGTCATTGGTCAAAATTATAATGGTAATAAGTGCCGGTTATCATGCAGGCACTGTGTCCGGCTCTTTACATAGCATATGCCAACAGTTGTGCTGTGTATTCCTGAGGCAGTAGGAAGACTGGCTAGCAAACCCATTTCACTGATAAAGGAACTGAGGCAGATGGAGCTTTGCCATTTTCCTGAGGTCACAGAGCAGTGACTCATCCACAGTTCTCCCTCCCTATTCCTGTAAACAGGTACAGTCTTAGAAACCCACAGTGGGTTGCTATGAGTCAGCATTGACTCCATGTCAGTAAGTTTGTTTTCAGCCTTAGGAAGATTTTTCTATCTCTTAATTTTCGTCTCCACCTCCCACAGTGACTCTCGTGCAATCAAACAAAGGATCCTATGGGGAATATAAAAGTAAATATAATGAAGAAAGGTAAAAATGAGAATCAACCACAACTGGGGGATCCATCTATATAACGTAAAGATATCATAGTTTTCTATTGGTACATCAGAGGCCCTGGTGGCACTGTTGGGGAAGCGTTGGACTGTTAACCCCAAGGTTAGGGGTTCAAATCTACCAGCTGCTCCACAGAAAAAAAGATGAGACTATTTGCTCCCATGAAGATTTATAGCCTTACGATCCCTATATAAGGCTGCTATGTGTCAGGAACAATTCAGTGTGCTATTGATAGCAAAATTTCCCTAAATTTAACAATTTATAGCAATACTCATTTTAGTAGGTGAGAAACCCCTGTGGGAAGTACTGGTGTCTGCTCTGGGTTTCAAAGGCCTAATCAAGCTGTGGTTGGCTGCACTTTTCTCCAGAGGATCTAGGATGAATCTCCTTCGAAGCTCACTCAGCTTGTTCCTAGAATCCTGTTCTTTGGAGGGAAAATCCACGTATTTGGAGTTGTTTGAGCAGAGCCTTTTTCCTTGTCACCTGTCACCTGGAGCCTCGATAGTTCCTGGAGGTCTCTCACCAATCCTTGCATATGGGCCCTACATATTGGATCAGCACATTGACTCCTTCCCACGCTGGACACTCTTAACTCTCTAAGCTGCATCTCAGGCCTGCCCTAACAAGAGACTTCTCTGCTTCTAAGAGGTCACATGCTAGAATGGGTCTATTTAACTAGACCCATATATTATTCCTGCTCAAAGCTTGGTTTCCTGTACCTTAATTATAGTTGCAAGCTCCATTCGGCCAGATAATATAAAGATAGCCACAGATTCCAGGCATAAGGGTGTGGGCATCCTTGCGGAAAAGTTATTCTCCCAACCACAGAGGGAGAAAATGTTTCTTCAGTAAGCATGATTGCTTAGATATGAATCAAAGAAAAAAAGCACTTTATCCTTTCCCTGACCCCAGCGCATATCTGCCCTAGGGGGAAAGCCTGAGTTCTCAGTGTACCTAATTATAATTGTTCAAGTGTTTGACCTTTCTCTTCAAATGGTGGAAGTAGAGACTTAAACAGTCTAATTTTGACTATGTCTCTAAAGGGGGAGGAACATTCTCAGTTTATTGAGATTATAGATGCCATTTCCAAGGTCTTGGCCAAAAGGCACTACTGAGTGCCATGTGCAAGATGAACAGTCTTTACAAGGTCCTTTTTAAAAGGGCTGTGATCCTGCTTTTCAAAACACCTGTCACAGAGTGGGCACTAGGCAATGCTAGCAAATTGTGAGGACAGGCTGGCCTTTGTGGAGTGACTATGGGGGAGACCACAAGGACCCCTCCACATTCCGTCTTATACTATTTACTGGGTTCATAAGGAGACTATGTTTCATGTTCACCTCTTGTTAGGAAGGGTCACGTGCCTACCTTGGCCACTGAAAGATGAACAGAAGTCATGTCTGTCACTTATAAGCCAAGGCCACTTATAAGTCAAGCCGTTTGGAAGCCAGCATGCTGCTTCTGTGTTTCCCGTTCTAGTGAGCAGTAAACTTGGAGAACCCCAGTTGAGATGTGGTTTTCTGCGATGGAAGCAGCCTAGAGACCTGGATCACTGGACATCTGAGAGCCCCTGGCAACCCACATCAGCTTTAATATATACAAGAAATAAACGTTTGTGTACGAAACTCGAGATCTCTGGCTTGTCCATGACACACACTGGCAGTTCCTTTACCTGATTAAAACAGAGCTGCCAATTCTGCTCTCAGACTTTACTTACACATTTTAATCACAAAAGTAATAGTACATATACCCCTGTTACCAAAGAATTCTAACAATAGGGATAAATCACAAATCTGTTCCATTAGAACAGTTTTTCCCCTAAATCCAACTACCTCCTTATACCTCAGCACAATGGAAATATCGTGTGCACTTTCACAATGGATTCTGAAATTCTTACAAGGTGGTGTTCTGAAAATACATAGTAAGTTTTTAACATATCTTGGTATGTTGAAAACCTATTGTTCTGCCTCAGTGTCTCTCACTGAAGTCAAAGAATGCAGAATCTCCCCATGATAGCAAATGTGATCTTCCTGATTTTTAATATGCCTTCCACAATTCTAAAGTGTGTGTGTGTATGTGTGCCCAAATTAATCATTATTTTGCTGATAGACATGATATTTAGTTCCCATTTGTTACTACAAGAAATAACTACCTTCTCATAAGTAGCTATGACTAAAAGTATTTAATAGCTTAATTTAAAATTCTGTTTTCTTGCAAAGTAGTACTATAAAAATATATTGTGAGTTTCTAACATACATGGGCAAATCTGCACATTTTGTTTTGTGTCTTTGTACTTATAATTTTATCTCTTGTCTTTCTCATTGAACAAAAAGAATGCAGCATCTCTCTGTGATAGCACACATCAGTCTATGTTGCTTTTTAACTGCTTCCTTGAACTCCAAAGTAAATGTTTGTGTTGCGTACATGTGCATTATGAGGCATGCCAAAATTCATTCACCATCACTTGCTGATGGACACATCATTTATTTCCCCCTTTTGCCATAATCAATAGAACTGAAAATGGACATAACTTCTTGGGAACTTGTGTATGTTGTTCTATAGGAAAGACCTAGCTGAGCTTACATTCAATTAAAGTAAAAAGACTATGAAGGTTATAAATGTTTATAAATATTGCTGAAATTATGATCCACAACATTGTGCCAATTCATATTCTCACATACCAATATATATAAATAACCTACACTCTCACAGACAGTTTGTTTTATCAGTCTTCTAGATTTTGGCCAAACTTTTGGGTGAAAATAGATTGCCTCACTGTTAGTGTTTTTCCCTCTTCTCCTTAAGGTAAGCTGAAAATTAATTTCATCTGTCAACAATACAAAGGGAGTTTTTGCAATGAGTACTAGAGTTCTTCTCGGCATACAGGTTGTAAAATTTTAAAATGTCAATTGACATTTGCCTTTACTTAAAGGCCAGAATGATCAGGTTTCAGGAAATTCATCCACATAGGATACTGAGAGGTAGTAAAGAACATTAGTAGGGCCTAGAGGTCAGGACTGCCAAGACAGGGACCACATGTAAAACAAAGTCCAGAGAGCCCAGGGCAAGCACCCTCTCAGGGTTCTGAATCCATAGTTCAGTACAGGGTGAAGAGACCAGAAAGAGAGAAGATGGGAGTCTTTTGGAGGGTCCTGCACAAACTACACTAATAAGCATTGAAAATCTCTGACTCATCATTACCAACCTGAAGTTGAATCAAGATCTCAGTGTGCAGACTAAAGGCATAGCTGATAACCCACCCTGCCTTCGAATTCCTCCTATCCAAACTCAGGCAGAATGTCTCAGACTCCCTAGAGTCACCAAGTGATGCTGTTAATCAATCCTACAAGAGTCTGGTGGTTCCATGCTTCCTAGTGCATCCACTAGAGTTGAAAACTCTCTTAATTTTTTACCTAGAGGGAAATTTCTTCTCTTGAATACAGCAACCCACCAGCACTGAGATTGGGTTTATGATAGTGGTGACTCATGACAGTTGAAAACAAGGCAAGGAGTACTAAGGAGATGCGCAGTTGTAGAGAGTAAGCAATTGGGGTGGGAATTTCCTAAGGCTGAATATTGGAATGACTCAGCAACTAACAGGGATCAAAGATATTAGCAGTTATCAGGTGCAGGAGGGAGGAGAAGAGAGTGGCATAGATTAGAGGCACTGGGAAATAGGTTGGGTTGGAAGGGCGCCTTTTGAAGGGGATGGATAAAATTTGGAAATGTATAGTAGCGATGGTTGCACAGCATGATGAAAACAAGTCATGCAGGAACTAAAAACACAGGGAATCCAGGACAGATGATCCCTTCAGGACCAGTGGTGCGAGTGGCGATACCAGAGGGTGGAGGAACGGTGCGGTGGAAAAGGATTACAAGGATCTACATATAACCTCCTCCCTGGGGGTCAGACAACAGAAAAGTGGGCGAAGGGAGACGTCGGAGAGTGTAACATATGACAAAATAATAATTTATAAATTAGCAAGGGTCCATGAGGGAGGGGCGAGCGGGGAAGGAGGGGGGAAAATGAGGAGCTAATGACAGGCGCTTTAGTGGAGAGCAAATGTGGGAATGATGGGATTGTGATAAAAGTTGTATGAGTCCCTAATAAAATGATTAAAAAAAATGATTGCTCCTGGGGGGTTCATCTGTCCTGGGTTCTTTGTATTTCAAGTTCCTATCTGTGCCAGTGCACATCCTCTGGTCCAGCCAGATATGTAAGGTAGAATTGGGATCATGGTAGTTGGGGGGGAGGGGGAAGGAAGCATTTAAGAACAGAGGAAAATTGCATATTTCATCGTTCATTGCTACACTGCACTTTGATTTGCTCCTCTCCTCCCCGCAGCCCTTCTGCAAGGGGATGCTCAATTTCCCCCCGGATCGGCCCTGGGTCCCCACTCTGCACTCCACTCATTCACAATGTTATGCTTTTTTTTTTGTCTTTGATGCCTGATACCTGACCCTTTCGCCACCGTGTCATCTTACAGGCTGGTGAGCTTCTTCCATGTGGGATTTGTTGTTTTTCAGTTAGATGGACCCTTGTTTATCTTCCAGCATGTGGGACCCCAGATTCTGTGTAATTTGACAGCTTGGCACCATCA